GCTGGATCTACATTTCTGGGCTTAATGAATTTTCCCAAATTGCTGGACTACAGTTATATGCCATTGAACATGTCTAGATCACTTTAGCAACAGATTACTCAAGAGTCCTGTTAGTTTGGATAGATGGGTGGATAACTGATGATCTAGATTCTGGGTCTGGAAACCTAAACAGCAGACCATCCAACGAGACCTTTCCAAGATATACTGACAAATAAAACCTAGAAGCCCAGGAACATGCTATTTCAGCTAGAATTAGGGTGCTTTGAATTCAAGATGGAGGCAAAATCAGGCAAAGCAGACAAGTAAATATATATAGCAGATGGAATGATAAAGACATTGCCATGTCGAGTAGGTTGTATTCATTCAGAATAAAATTTGAACTAGGTGTAGTACTGCTGTGCTTTGAGAACTCCACCCTCTCCTTTATCATAACTTGTATTAGTTACTTTTGTATTGCTATGACAAAATACTTGACAAACAATTTAAGTCAGGAATAATTTGTCTTATGGTTTCAGAGGACTCAGTGGGACACAGCATCATGGAAAAGAAGAGGGTGTGGAGGAGTAATATACTTTATGAGGACCTGGAATAGGGAGTGAGATGGTGAGGAAAATGGAGAGGTGGAAGAAGAAAGGGGGAGGGAGAGGGGGAGGGAGAGAGAATGAAAATATGTGCCTTGGACTTATATGTACCTTTCAGAAGTATATGCCCAATGAGTTACTTCCTCCAGGTAGGTCCCACCTCTTAACATTTCTACCCTCTACCAAGATAGTGCCACCAGCTGGGCATCAATCACTCAACACAGGAACCTGAATGTAACTGTCTGTTTGCATCCTTCTGTGACCTATTTGAGGACAGGTACTATGTTTTTCTTCTCTCTAACCAAGTACCAACTATTGTATCTGACATACACTAGAAGGTCATGAGTAGCTGGAAGAATAATATATCTACTCAATAGGTTTAAACAAATACCCACAGCAACCTTGTGTCTGTTTCCCTTGTTGAAGAGGGCATTTAGAAAAAATAGCCTCATAAATAAACTTAGGTGTTAGCGAAAGGAGGTTCTCTCTCTTTCTCTTTCTTGTTCTAAAAGAGTGTTTTTTTTTCTTATTTTTGTAAAGGAAGTAAATTTTAGTGCTAAGAGAATGTGTAAACTCACCACATCATAACATGGTCACAGGAGAATTCACACTTCTTAGATAAGCTAGTGGAAGAACAAAGAGAGTTTTGAAAGGTTAGAGAAAAAGATTCTGAAATGTCACATCTGCTCTACAGAACTGACCACCCTTGGCATCATTCTTTTAATCTACCTGGGCTCCAGAATAGCCTGGGGCATTTGGAATGCAGACAATTAGCACCTCAGACAGGGCATCCACATGCAAAATCCTGTCACTTTTCAGAGATCTCAGGAGGTGACAAGTTTAGAAAAGAAGACCCTTTCAACCTTGGCTGACAGTTTTCCTAGCTTTCAATGTTTTTGTGTTTGATTTAAATGGCATCTATATTCAAAAAGTTTTCCCTAAAATATAAAGCTCTCTTTCTCTACTATGATTTTTATTTTGGAGATTATTTTAAAAACAGTAAGAACAAATACCTCCTCCTATCGAGACTTCAAGATCTTCCTTCTTTCACAAAAATGAGCTCTGCTTTACTTCAAAGGAGCTTCTCTATCTATCTATCTATCTATCTATCTATCTATCTATCTATCTATCTATCTATCTATCTACCTATCATCTATCTATTCGTTATTTATTTATTTTAGGCTTTTATTTAGAGTAATGAACGTTAAGGCTGGAAATGACTAGTTTGGTGGGGGAGGGCGTCCCCTGGCTCAATTCTGTTTGACAGATGGAGAAAATAAGACTTAGACTTAGAGAAAGGAAGCCATTTAGTGGTAAAAGATGGAGTTCAAATCAGACCTCATAATTATTGTACTAACCCTCCTTCCAATTCACACTGTAGTATTTAAGGTGGGTCAAAGGTATGTAAAAGCATTTTGTGCGTATGTACATGCATGCATGCATGCGCGCGCGCGTGCGTGTGTGTGTGTGTGTGTGTGTGTGTGTGTGTGTGAGAGAGAGAGAGACAGAGAGAGACAGAGAGAGACAGAGAGAGACAGAGAGACAGAGAGACAAAAACACAGACAGAAAATTTCAGATTGTTTTCTTGACAGCCTTATTTCCAGCCATTTATTTGTTCACTAATATATATATATATATTTATAATTTACATATATTTAGCACCCACTGTGTGCCAGTCACTGAGGATACAGTGATGAACAAAGTATACAAAATCCTGTTGTTATGGACCTTAAGGTCAAGTGGAAGAGACAGGCAGCAAACAAGCAGATTCTTCTGCTCATAAATGGGGCCCATTACTTAGCTCTTTGTCTCTTGGTGCCTCTATTATCTCCCCTGCTCTGCTGTATGATCTTTGTCTTCCTGTATTGTGGGCACAGGGACAGAGAAGGAAGAAAACTGTTTCAGTTCCTCTGTTCTCTACACTTCAAGCTCTGCATGAAGTTTGAATTTGCCAAAGTCAGGTTTAGTGTGTGTGTAGCAGTCGAGTGAAGATGTCAGTATTTTTCATCAACACTGTACTGGTGGGCTGGCTCACCTGTCAGCTTGCTTGTGAGATGACAATAAGGTACTGGATGTGAGAGTTGTACTATTACCTTATAATTTAACTGTTCTTTTTTTTGATACGATTTTAGTTGTGCTGAACCCCACTGTACCTGCCTGCTTTGACAAGTATGCTATTTTAGCAATGCAGAAAAACCAGAAAGAAAAGAATGCACGGTATGCTTGTGCTGTCAGATCCAGGTTGCTCTCTTCCTAAGTTTGCAGATGATTTGTTCAGAGTTGTGCAGAGACTGAAAAAAAAAGTTAAGTTTTGTTTTTAACCTATGTAACTCTGAATGTTCCAGAAGTTGCATGATAGATGGGGTGCTGTCCATATGACCCAATAAAAGAGGATGCCCTTCCTTTTCTTTTCATGTTTGAAATGTCATCATTGTAATTAATTTCTAACGCATTAGCTTTTTTCAAATACAGAGTCCTAGTTAGGTGAACTTCTGAAGTCCTGAACATTGAAGTAGGCATTTATGTATCAGATCAATTTTAATTTCTTCCTTAAGCAAAAGCATGGGAAAAATTAGGAGCTGGTAAAAAACACATGAGGTAGGAAGATAATGAGATGATCTTGACCTAGTCCCTAGAGCTATTCTGTTGCCATATTGAACAAAGTCACCTTAAAAAAATTCCTATTGAAAACGACTGTAGGAAATGTGGCTTTATATTTTAGCTACAAAGTTTGGGCACTGTTTTTCAATAAAGAAAGTTGTTACTGTCTACCACCAAAGACTTAGAGAATTGTTCAGAAGCCCAGGAGGTAGAGAGCAAATCTTTACCTTGGTGCAGGATAGCTCTATGCACCCAATTCATTAAGCATTTAATATCATTTTCCTTAATGAGATTCTTTCTACCCATGCCATGTTCACAAGGTACTGAGAGTTGAAGCTGTGGAAGAAATACAACAGACTGCATAGCTTTAGCTGTTTCCACTCCAATTTAAAAAACATCGTGCATTATCTAAAGATATGGATGAGACTCTTCAGCTTGAGGCATTAAATGGTATTATTTGGGAGGAAACAGGAGAAAGCTTTTGGGAAACATTACTTAGCATATTTTGAAATAGAGTCATCACTTGATTACAAAGAATGAAAGTGGAGAGGGATTAAAAAATTAATGACAGTTTAGCATCAGTTGTAGACAAAAAGTTCACTACAGCAACAGAGACTAGAAGTTACAATATCAACACTGGCACAAGAATATAAAATGGGTTTTATATCCAAAAATGACTTGGGCCTAGCCCCATATACCAAAGGGCAAATAGAAGTTCACATGCATCACCAATGGGTGTGCCAAACTGGACAGAAAAAGGGTACAAGTCTGTAGTCCTATTCAAAGAACTACAGGCAACTGAGTAAAGCTGGAAGAGGAGGAAGTGGTTTCTCCCAGAGAAGAGTACACTAATTGGTTGTCCAGTGCCAAATGGCCAGCCCTGAAAACGTACATACAAATAGCATTATACAGATTCAACAAGTTGTAATTAGGAATTACAGGTATATACGTATGCAATAGAATATTGTAGGAGAGCAGGGAGCGGTATTTGGGAGGGTTTCAAAGGTGAAAAGGGAAGGAAGAAATGTTGTAATAATAATCTCAAGAATTAAAAAAAAAACTAAGAAGCACCAGTAAAAAGATGTGCTCTTCTTAAACCCTTCAGTTAGAATATTTTTAAGCACAATTATGTTTTTTTGTGACTAATTTGATACTTTTGGATCATGTACAAAATATTAAGTTAAAAATTAGTATTTGCTTGAGCCTATGCTTGTTCAAAGATTAGGCATACAGCTTCACCTGTGAGGCTCTGATTCCATCATCAGCATTGAAGAAGAGAAAGCTTGTTCAGGAAGATCTAGTCCCAAAGTCCATAGTTCTCGAATACTTGGTGATGCTGTGGAAGTCTCATGACTGAGTTCTGCCATGATTTTGTAGTTCCAGTGCTTTGACGCATTTGTTTTGTCTGTTTCTGCCCCTCATGATGACATGGGCCACTTGCCGCTATCACCAATTCTTTTGCATACTAGTTAAACCCAGTCATCGCTGATGGCTCTGCAGGTTGCAGGGACTACACAGGAACAAAAGCATTATCAAATTTCTCATCTTTGTGCAAGGTCTATCTGCATTGCTAGCACAGCTCAAATATTACAAGTGTTCACCTTTCCAATGCTCCCCCTCCCCCACCAGGAACCCTCTGTTGGAGAGCAGGTGATCAAACCCCATGACAAGTTTGAAGCTGCTAAACTGCTGAGCTGGCCTTAATTGAAGTGTGAGAAGAGGTTTTAAGGCAGGTAGACAACATCCTGTTGTTGGGGCGCTCATCTCTTTTTTTTCATACTAACTGCCCTGGGAGTCAGGTGGCTGATTGTGACTGGTAGCTACCGTAGTAGCAAAAGCAGAAGCAACATTTCCCGTTTACCATCTTCCTTCTGGGCCCATTCAAGAGTCCACCAGGCATGGAAGCAGTGACTGTGTACCATGGCAAAATCAGCAGGGAGACAGGGGAGAAGCTCTTGCTCGCTACCGGGCTGGATGGAAGCTATCTGCTAAGAGACAGCGAGAGTGTTCCTGGCGTGTACTGCCTGTGTGTTTTGTGAGTACATTGTGGTAGTGGGAGCTTGGTAGCACATGTGTCCTGACCTTGCTGGGGAGGCCTGGAAGGAGGGGCTGGGGGTTACAGCTTTTAGTAAAGGTTGTCAGAGACACAGGCTTCTCCAGTCAGCCCAGGGCTGTTGTGGGTAGTACTTGGGTATAGGTTGCTTATTGGGGATTTAATCTACTGGGGCTCTCCAGTGCATTTGTGGCAGCCTCTATTGTACTAGAGTGAGGATTTTCTGGAGTTGCTGAGTTATCTTCCTTTATAAGAGAGACCAGGAGTTAAAAAACGTGGGATGTCTGATAAAAGATCGGGCTGACAATGGTTTTAAAGAGTACAGAAAGAAAACACCATTGTAACGATTCCATTTGCTCTTTGCCTAGACTGTTGCCAGCCTCTTGCTCCATTTTGAACTAGGTGCAGCTGCATCTCGGCTCCCTGCCTTCCCGGCCAAGTAGATATGAGATCGAGTCCTACCATAGTCAGACTCTAAGCTTGTAATCTCAGCAAATCAATATCTTAGCCCTTGAGTTTTCTCATGTATTAAATGGGATTCATATTCCAAGGGACCATGAAGATTAAATACCTCCATGCTTTTAAAAACAAGTGAGCACTGGGCTTGACACCGAGCAAATGTTCAGTAAGCTATTGACTTCAGTTTATTGTTATTCTCTTTTTGGACAAATTATTTCAGTACTCATGGAGACATTTCTACAGAAGAATTACCGTAAGCAGGATTAAAAAAAAAAAAAACAACAACACCTCACAAAATCATCACTCTAGCACAGTAGAGCCCACATAAAAACAAAACAAAGAAAAATGCTTTGTGGTGAGTTCTGGACATAATGATACACTACAAAAATTTGAAGTACTTTCTGGGTCAGAAAATAAAGATTAAATTGAGGATGGTGAGGGAGGACTGTCATTGTACATTGATTTCTAAAAATGGCAAGCCTTATTTGTGGCAGTTTTCAGATCATGCTAAATGCATTTATCATAAATGCTTAAAGTTAAATATATGGAAAAATAATTTTTCAGTGTTGGGGACAGCACCCACGATTTTGTATATGCTCGAAAATGGCTTTTCCACTGAACTAGACATCTAACCCTGGGCTTGGACCTTTAAGTTCCCAAGTGGAACCCCAGGAAGGGTGAGGAAAGCCAACGAGGATCCTTAGGCTTTTTTTTTTCTTGTCAAAAGATGGAGGAAGGTAAGTGAAATGAGCTGCTTTGGGTTAGTAGTGGGTTAAGTAGCATGCTCCTTAACCTAAAGGGGAAAAGGAAGGTTCAAATGAAGCCTGTATAGGGGAGAGGGAGCCGGAGACAGTATACCTAAGACTTCTACTTCGTTCCTGCAGGTTACCATACCTGCTCCCCACTTAGGATTTTATACCTTCTGTTCAATATACATCCCTTGATCATTCTAACAAATGTAAGGGACCTCTCTGTGTTGTTATTCAAGGAGCTTTAAACTTTCTATTAGCTTGTTTACTTATACATGGGTTCTACCACAAATATATCTTCATGAAGGAACAAATATTTTCTCTCGGACCAGAAAATTATCCTGGTACATACTAGGCACTCAGCAAACAATCTGAAATTAAATGAATGAACTGTTAAGGCATATTGTACTCTTTACTACAAAGAGCCTTGGGCTGACAAGAGGCCAGGGTATGGGCTCTAGGGAGTCACTCAAATTCTTTGGGGACTTCATCTTCCATATATGAAAAACAGAAATATGTTTTTTTTAATTTTTTAAAAAAAGTTTGCTCTAAGTAAAATCTTGAAGAGAGGAATCCTTAGTTTTTTAGGCAGATGGTCAGAACCATGCAAGGAAATTCTCATAATTTTAGTTGTCACTAAAGGTGAATGCTGCATGAATGTAAGGTTTTTGTTGTTGTTGACTAATTTCTCCATGAAAAGAGACAAGTAGAGAATTCTCCTCCTGTCATAAAGGTTTTTGGAGTTATGACCAGATTACTGTGAGGGGAAAAGACAAGATGCTTTGCCTTTGATCAATTCTTCAATTATTGTGGAGCTGAGTGTCCCTTTTGATACACGTAAACATTACATTCTCTCTTACTGGAACTACGTGGTACTTGCAAAACGTTATTTTGGAACAAATGATGCACTGTTAATTCAAAATACTGATTTGTATGATACAGAGTAGAAAGAAATAGAATCATATATGCAATATAATAATTGTAGTTTACTCGGTGCCATTTTATTCTATGTATTATTTATTCCCAATAACCAAGAAGGTTTGCTTGAACTTCAGTTTATTTTTATTGCATGCTTCAAATTGTACTTTCAGACAATACATTCCTCTTTCCCAAAGTAAATCCCAGTTGTGGCTCTGAGACAGGACCTTTTCTCCTGTTAGGTTTTAGGAAATAGAATGTTTCAAACATTGTAAAAGTTTTCCACTTATAGAATCGTTGCTCTTCATTTATAATCTGAAGATTATCTTCCAATCATTTTCTCTAAATAAAATTAGAATTAAAACAATCTGTAAAAATAGTCTTTTACACTTATTTGTGATATAAAATTTGAAAACATAGATAATGGAATCAAAGGAAAAATCATCTATAATCTTATGACTTAAAGGCAACTACTATTAAGTAAAAATTCTTTTATATTTTAATAAGATGTATTCATTTTGAATATGTACATCTTTTATTAAATTTTGCTGTAATTTCCATGTAGTATGAAATAAAAGCTGATCCATATATAATATTTTCACTAATAAATTCAAGACATTATTTTTAAGGGCTGTGTTTTCATTCAGCTAAGTTGTAAATGAACCATATTTTTCTTGACCAATCTCTCATTTTATTTCTTATTAACTAATTTTGTTTTTTTGACAGCTTCATACATTTACACCAGCCTTGACACCTGAATCATTCAATAGTTTTAAATTATAAATTCTACATATAAATGATTACCATAAATGTGTATTCTAGCTTATGTGTATAATTGTCCTTTGCAATGAGTATTCTTGTTAAAAATAATTTTCTTTGAAATTTGATGTCTAATTTTTATTATATTTGCACTCAATTTTTTATATTTTAGATTTTATTAATGGCACTGAGTGTTTTTGATGTGGTTGTTAAACTATTTTTCCCTATACATGAACTGATTATTTGCATACTTCTATGATTTAGATATTACTGCTTTTCATACATGCATACACATACATGCACAAATACGTTATGTTGCAGATGTCCTTTCTCAGTTTGATGTTTGCTATTTCATATTTTTAGTACTGAAATGTATCACTCAGCTTCTTCATGTTTGATTTTTCTCTTTGCTTCCCAGCTTAGAAAATCTTTTCTCCTCTAGAGACACATAAAATTTCACTGTTTTGTTTTAAATATGTGGTTTTATTAATTTTTATTCTATCCTTTCATTTCATTTGAGTTTTACGTGCATAAAAGATGTAATTTGATTTGTTTCCAGGTGGTTATCAGTTGTCCAACATAGTTTACTAAACTGAATTTCCATTCTTCATTTGTTAGGCCACTTTACCAAGTACTAAAGAACTGACTATTTATAATCTTGTTATTGTTTCTGGACTATTTGGTTCAGTTGATCTATTTGTGCTTATCTTAATCAAATCAGTATATTATGATTTCCAAACATATTAGAAAGTTATTAGGTAGTTTCATCTACTGGTTATCTATGATGAAATATAAAATTATTCTGTTAAATTGGATTAAATTAGTATCAGTAATAAATTAAGGAGAAATTGTCATCTTTAAAGAATTGACTCTTTTCAAAGATATGGTATAAGATTTTATTCTCTTCCATTTTCAAGGTATCTCAAGTTTTTTTCATTGAAGTACGTATTATAACCTCACAATGTTTCATTTTCACTCTAATATAGAGAGGTACTAGGTAATACCTCATCATCCCCTGGGATTACCTCATGAGAGGAAAACTAATTAAAATATTTTAAAAATAAGCTTGAAAAATAGCACATTTCCACAATTACATAGCTGACTTTATACTTCTCTGCTGAAAGATTTGGAAGAAGAAACACATTTATAGTTCTTTAGTCTTACAGACACATCCTGATGTAATTTTTCACATATGTCTTTTGATGAAAGAGTTATCTTTTTGTCCTTTTTCAAGGGATGAAACTGATGATTACTTTTCTCCTCTGGTAGTGTGCATATTCCTTTCCAGCACTATGAGCTAGCCCATAGAGATGAAGCTTCCAGGTTTGTACCAGCTTAACTTCTCCATGTTTTATTCTTCAAGTATGTGGTGTTGTCAGTAATAGGGTCTTACTGTTAAGTTCTGAAGGGTAGCCAAGAGCATTGTCACTAGCCTGTAACGTCTGGTGGTCTATGGGGGCTCACTAGCCAACAACTCAAAAAGACACAATTCATTCCTAATATTAGGCATTTCATTTGGTAATATATGACGTCTAGTTATTGCTCTGTTATAGAGTAACTCCATTTTAACTCTTTTTATATATGTGTATAGGTATATATTTTAAGAATTATCTACATTAGTAGGTTTACACATGACTTTTTTGGGTGGTCTTTAGTGTTATTTATCCCTTCTTGTCTTCTACTCTGCCTTCCCACCGTTACTCCAATTTAACCTTTCCTGTTCCAGTATTCCCTTTTGATTATTTATACCTGTGTATTCTGTGTCTCTTCCCTTGAAAGTTGCCACCCATGGTCTTTTAGTAATTCCCTGACCTGTATCGATATTCGAAATGAAACACACTTATCTCAAGATTCAAAGCTAACAATCACAAATGGGAGAAAACTTGTGATGTTTGTCTTTCTGGGTCTGGGTTAGCTCACTCAGAAGGGCTATATCCAGCTCCATCTATTTACCTGCAAATTTCATTTTTATCAATAGCTGAATATCATTCCATTGGTAAACATATCACACTTTTATTATCCATTCATCAGTTGATGGATGTCTAGGCTCTTTCTGTTTCCTAGCTCTTGTGAATAGAGCAGAAATGAAAATTGATG